ACTCTTCCTTTTAACTAAATGTTGATAAGTTACAGTTGATGACTCTTCCTTTTAACTAAATGTTGATAAGTTACAGTTGATGACTCTTCGTTTTAACTAAATGTTGATAAGTTACAGTTGATGACTCTTCGTTTTAACTAAATGTTGATAAGTTACAGTTGATGACTGTTCGTTTTAACTAAATGCTGATAAGTTACGGTTGATGACTCTTCGTTTTAGCTAAATGTTGATAAGTTACGGTTGATGATTCTTCGTTTTAGCTAAATGTTGATAAGTTACAGTTGATGACTCTTCGTTTTAACTAAATGTTGATAAGCTACAGTTGATGACTCTTCGTTTTAACTAAATGTTGATAAGTTACAGTTGATGACTCTTCGTTTTAACTAAATGTTGATAAGTTACAGCTGATGATTCTTCGTTTTAACTAAATGTTGATAAGGTACAGTTGATGACTCTTCATTTTGCATAATGTATGGTAGATCTTGTTACATAATACAAAGTTAATCAGTTTTATCAGGTGTTCTCAACACTGAGCACCTAACGATAACCAGTATGATTATCCACCATACTTATTATCAGGTGTTCTTAACACTGAGAACCCAGTACCTGTTGTACTGCTGTCAAGACAAAGACACGATCGAAACTGTCAGTTAATTGATTTATATCAGCTTATCTATTTTTTAGCAACTTACATAATATTTGGTGCTGGACTCTTACAAGCAATATAACTCCGAAATAAGGGAAATTATATTAATTATAGTAGTTTTCTACATTTTTACGGTGTTACGGGTAAATGTTAGATGCATTATTAGTTATTTGTAGTTTTCTACATTTTTACGGTGTTACGGGTAAATGTTAGATGCATTATTAGTTATTTGTAGTTTTCTACTTTTTTACGGTGTTACGAGTAAATTTTAAATGCATTATTAATTATTTGTAGTTTTCTACATTTTTACGGTGTTATGAGTATAAATCAATTTGGATATAATGATTTGTGGAGTTGGTTGCTAGAGTTATGATTCTAATCCGTTGGCTAGTATCCAATTTTAAAGCAACTAGTTACACTGCACATCTTGAAAACGTGGTTTGTTAAGTCTGGTGTGTGACGTGATATTTTTTTTTCCTAAGAAAATAATTAAGTGTTTCTGAATACACTTCTAAAAAAGTATTAATTATGATATTAAATAGGATGATATTAAAGATGTCTGAGTAAAATGTCCACCCCACTTTTACTGAGTATGTACGTTCATCCTACCTCACTGTTTAGAAAGAGACAGGTTGAAATTCTGCCTCTGAAAAACCTGGACTGGTTGTCCCACGTAATTGTGCAACTGACATTGTAAGTTAAGGAGCGTCATTGGGCATATGAGATTTCTTAATTAAATATATCTCGCACTCATTACTAAGTCGAAAATAATTTAGGACCTGGAGTATTCGCGTATTATTTGTCGATGAAATGTCAACAGTATATACATTTATAATTATATTTTGTATTTCCAGCAAAGCTATACTAAGACTAACTGCCGCCGTCCCTAGTCTTGAACTACTGAGCAGAGGGCGCAGCACCTTACCGCACACCATCCACCTCTGATGGACTGACTGTCACTCTTATAACGCACCTACAAATTATATTTTGGGAATATTTTGTTATCAAGCACAGTTTCCAACAATGCTTGCCAGCTTCGAAATTAAGAGCTCTGCCACGGGCTAACCTGTATCCTAAACACGACAGACCGCGCAGATACGAGCTCATATTTTTAGTGACATTAATCCTAGAGTATTGTACGCAAAGAAAATATGTTTTGTTTTATTTTTGAATTTCGCGCAAAGCTACACGAGGGCTGTCTGCGCTAGCCGTCCCTAATTTAGCAGTGTAAGACTAGAGGGAAGGCAGCTAGTCATCACCACCCACCGCCAACTCTTGGGCTACTCTTTTACCAACGAACAGTGGGATTAACTATCACATTATAACGCCCCCACGGTTGAAAGGGCGAGCATGTTTGGTGGGACGGGGATTCGAACCCGCGACTCTCAGATTGCGAGTCGAGCGCCCTAGCCGGGCAAGAAAATATGTCAACAATTTATTCCAATTA